GATTCAATCAAGAGAGCCTGGGAGATGGTCAGGGGCTGAATCGTCACACAGTACCGGCCACGCCGGAACTTTCTGGTGCTGCGAAGAGACTCTTTCCCGACCCGCCTCACCCCTCTTCTCTCATCTCTCCAGCTAACTGTAAAACCAGAGCTCTGCCCAGCAACTGCTCCCCTGGGTCTTTGCAGAGGGGTGGCTCAGGGACTAGGGTTGCCTGAGACCTAGACCAACTTGTAGTCAAGGAGGGCCAGAGCTGTGGGTTGCCTGAGACCTGGACCAACTTGTAGTCAAGGAGGGCCAGAGCTGTGGGTTGCCTGAGACCTGGACCAACTTGTAGTCAAGGAGGGCCAGAGCTGTGTGTTCTAGGACAGCACTCAGTGGAATTTCCATCTGGTATCAGCTGCAGCCAGTGGGTACGAACACCTCCCTTCCTGGCCTGTTTCTACCCAGCACTGGCACCGGTGCTCTACAACATTACAAAGGTCTAGGGAGGCAGTTCTTGTTTGTCCTTAGAGAGGCAGTTATCACTTGTCCCTGTGGGTGTAAAGGTGCTGCTGGCTGGAATTCAGACGTGATGGCTGGAGCTTGAGCAGCCATCTTGGGCTCCCAAATGGATCAGCCCAGCTAACTCCCTACTCTCCATCTCCCACTTCTAGGAAACTAAGGTAAGGGAACTCATATTTACAGAGTACCTCCTGGGGTACCAGGCACTGTGCTTCATGGTTTGTAGTATTTCTTCCAGCATCTCCTTTAGGTAGGTGTCACGAACTCAAATTGCATAATGTCTCTTTAAAAGTGTTTGGGGCAGGGCATGGTGGCTCATGCCTATAGTCCCGGCAATTTAGGAGGCTGAAGCAGGAGGATCTCTTGAGCCCAGGAGTTTGAAACCAGCCTGGACAACATAAGAAGTCCCCATCTCTACATTTAAAATTTAAAAAGCCAGGTGCAGTGGCTCACACCTGTAATCCCAGCACTTTGGGAGGCCAAGGAGGGTGGATCACCTGAGGTTGGGAGTCCGAGACCAGCCTGGCTAACATGGTGAAATGCTGTCTCTACTAAAACTACAAAAATTAGCCGGGCATGGTGGTGCACATCTGTAATCCCAGCTACTTGGGAGGCTGAGGCACGCAAATAGCTTGAACCTGGGAGGCAGAGGTTGCAGTGAGCCAAGATCATGGCACTGCACTCCAGCCTGGGCAACACAGCAAGACTCCGTCTCAAAAAAAAAAAAGAAAATTTAAAAAAGGAAAAGTGTTTTGGATAATATATAGGAACATAATATCAAAAGCTAGCATTCTCTGAGTTCCCGTGAAGTGCTAGGCCCTTGAACTCCTTACAGCAATCATTCAAGGTCATGACTCTCATTTTACAGATGAGGAAGCTGTGGTTGTGAGGACTGGCCCAGTTACTAGTAAGAGACAGAGCCAAGGCTGGCACCCCAGCTTCTCAGAGAGTCCAAACTTAGGTTCCTTCTCAGGCCCTGCAGCCACTAAATATGCGTCCTGCTGCAGGAGGCACTGGGTCTGTCTTGACAACCACCCTGAGCCCAGGGCGCTGAAAGCCACTTAGATGTGTGGATACACGTGTGTGTATTTTCCCTGGAATCTGTTTAAAAGCATTCGTGAGGAAAAGAACGAGAGGTAGGCAGATTCTAGTGGTGAGAAAATAACAAAACTGTGCAGGGAATTGTCTTTTCGTGTTTTTGAAAAATCATTTGAATAACGCCGTGTGATTTGTGATTCAAACGGAAATGCAGATGTTACCAGCAGTGCCTTTGTGCTGTTTTCTGAGATTCTCAGTAACAGCCTCCCTGGTGTTTTTCCTGTCCTTGTTTTTCAAAAGAAAGCCTTCCCCTTTTTCAGCCTTAAAGGAAAGTCCGGTCTCGTGCGCATGTTTGGCGCTAAAGCAGGTCCCCTCGACTGACTGGGGAGAACGCAAGGCTCCATCTCAGGGGGCAGATCCAGACTGAGCAGCTTCTGCAGGCAGCATCTCAGGCTCAGCACCAGACTTTGCTGTCCATGCGCTGTGTGTCATTAAACAAACCGCCACCCCTCTCTGGGCTTTGCTGTCCTTCTCTGTAAAGTGAGGATGATTTTTAACCTTCCTTCCTTCCCCAGCTGATTTTCTCTGAAGAGAACAGGCTTTAGAAACAGGCCTGGATGGCCAGGCGCCGTGGCTCACGCCTGTATTCCCAGCACTTTGGGAAGCCAAGGCGGGCGGATCATGAGGTCAGGAGATCAAGACCATCCTGACTAACACAGTGAAACCCTGTCTCTACTAAAAGTACAAAAAAATTAACTGGGCATGGGGGTGGGCACCTGTAGTCCCAGCTACTCGGGAGGCTGAGACAGGAGAATGGCATGAACCCAGGAGGCGGAGCTTGCAGTGAGCTGAGATCTCGCCATTGCACTCCAGCCTGGGGGCCAGAGCGAGACTTCGTCTCAAAAAAAAAAAAAAAGAAAACAAAAGAAAAAGGAAATAAAAGAAGGAAAGAGGCCTGGATTCAAATCCCAGACCTGCCACATTCTAGCTGTGTGACCTTGGGTAAGTCACTTTACCTCCCTGTGACTCAATTTCATCTACAATGAGCCGCCGACACCTAGCAAAGGAGTATATCCAGTAAGCTTATTTGCTGCAATGTATTAAGGACCTACTATGTGTCAGGCATTGTCCATTATTACAGCTAGGCATCAGGCATTTCAATCACACCCCTACTTGACACTCACCAACACATCCCAACACAAAAATGGGATGGACATATGACTCTGACGAAGCGGGTGGCCATTTCTGACTTCTTGGCCTTTGTCTTAGTTAAGATGCTGGCCCATATAACAGAGGCCCTGCTAATGTTTTGTGGTTTTTGTTTGTTTGTTTGTTTGTTTCTGGAGACAGGGTCTTGCTCTGTTGTCCAAACTGGAGTGTAGCGGCACAGTCAGGGCTCACTGCAGCCTCAACCTCCCAGGCTCAAGTGATCCTCCCACCCCAGCCTACCTAGTCACTGGAATTACAGGCACACACCACCACGCCCAGCTAATTTTTGTATTTTTCTGTAGAGACAGGGTTTCCCCATCTTGCCCAGGCTGGTCTCAAACTCCTGGGCTCAGGTGATTCTCCCACCTTGGCCTCACAAACTGGGGATTATAGGGGTGAGCCACCGTGCCTGGCCTAATTGTCTTAAATACACAAGGGTTGATTCCGTCACATAAAAGAAATCAGAATAGGCCAGTTAGGGCTGATATGCCACTCCACAGTCTTCAGGGACCAGATTTCCCTCATGCTGCTTGTTCTGCCTTCCTTTGTGGGCTGACTCATGGCCCAGGATGGCTGCTCAAGCTCTGGCCACCTCGTCTGAATTCCAGCCAGCAGGAAAGAGGACATGAGGGAAGAAGAGCACTCCTCCTCTTAAAGAGAATTCCAAGGAACACCACATCACACTACTGCTTCAACTCATGGGCCAAAACTAGTCACAGTGCTATTCTTAGCTTCAAGGAAGCCTGGGGAGTGTGCCCAGCTATAAATTTGAGTCCTTGTGACTAAAGAAGAAACGGGAGAGTGAGTTGTAGCCAGCACCTTGCAGTGTATGCTGTAGCTTTCTTTCCAATTTGGGGACTTTTCCAGGGAAAATCCTCACAGCCAACCTCTGGTGAAACTATCCTGTGTTCCCCTTTTTATAGCGGAGGAAATTGAGAGCCAGAGGGGTACGGGGCCTGACCAAGGTGTCACAGCTAGTGAGCAGCAGAGCCCTTCTGGGGTAGCCTAGAGCTGCAGGCATCGGCTGGGCACAGTGGCTCAGGCCTGTAATCCCAGCACTTTGGGAGGCTGAGGCAGCAGGATTTCTTGAGGCCAAGAGTTCAAGACCTGGGCAACATAGGAGACCCCATCTCTACAAAACATTTAGAAATTAGCCAGGCATGGTAGCATGCATGTGTAATCCCAGCTACTCAGGAGGCTGAGGTGGGAGGATCACTAGAGCCCAGGAGGTCAAGGCTGTAGTGAGCTATGGTTGTACCACTGCACTCCAGCCTGGAGGAGAGAACCCATCTCTCTCTCTCTCTCTCTCTCTCTCTCTCTCTCTCTCTCTGACTCTCTCTTTCTCTTCATTTTTCTTTTTTCTCATGCTATTTTGACAAAAAGCCCATCCCTTAAAAAAAAAAAAAAAATTACTGCCGGGCACAGTGACTCACGCCTGTAATCCCAACACTTTGGGAGGCTAAGGCCGGTGGATCACTTGAGGCCAGGAGTTCGAGACCAGCCTGGCCAACATGGCAAAACCCCTTCTCTACTAAAGATACAAAAAATTACTGGCATGGTGGCACACACCTATAATCCCAGCTACTCAGGAGGCTGAGGCAGGAAGATCGCTTGAACCCAGGAGGCGGAGGTTGCAGTGAGCCAAGATTGCGCCACGGTACTCCAGCCTGGGCAACAGAGCAAGACCCTGTCTCAAAAAAAAAAAAAAAAAAAAAAAAAGGCAGAGTTGCAGGAGCCAAGATTGCGCCTGGCTGTACTCCAGCCTGGGGGCAGGTGGGGAGGAAGGCAAACAAAAGGGTAAATAGGAGTAAGATCTCTGCCCCAGAGCGCTGGACGCCCGGAGGGGGAGGGTGTGGGAGGCCACAAAATTGCCCCGCGGGCCCCCCCGCGGAGAAAAAAAAAAACCCCCCCTAAAAAAAAAAAAAAAAAAAAAAAAAAAGCTTCAGGCAAAGAATGAGAGCTTCTACACCACCTTTCTGTTTATCAGGAGATTCCTTCCTGCCCCCAAAGGATCCAGATTTTTTAGAGAAACATCCTTCATCTTTATTTAATAAATTCTAAAACAGCTGTGAACATAGAGCCTTCCCACCCACTCTGGATTTGAGAGCCACTGAGGAATGGAGTCATGGGTTTGGTGACTGGTGGCTGTGGATGCTCAGGGCAATGCTGAGGCCCAGAAGTTTGGCTGGAGGTCCCTGGGGAGGGCTGGGCTCCACACACCCACCGTGATGCTCACTCACTGTCTCCTGCAGGTCAGCGGCCACCTGGACTACGCCAAGCAGATGGACACCATCCTGAAGGCTGTGGGCATCCGCACCAAGCCAGGCTGGGACGAGAAGGGGCTCTTGCTGGCCCCAGGCTGCCTGCCCCCCGAGGAGCCTCGCCAGGCAGCAGCTGCCACCTCATCAGGAGATATTCCCCACCACGTTGGGCAAACCCAGGGTCCCACATCCGGAGACACCTCCAAATTGGCCATGTCCACAGACCCCAGCCAAGCCCAGGTGCAGGCAGGGCTGGACCAGTCTGAAGGGGCCTCCCTTCCTGCTGCTGCCAGCCCTGAAAGCACCCCCATCTGCAGCCATGGCATGGACCCCAACCCACTGGGCTGCCCCGATTGTGCCTGCAAGACCCAGGGCCCCAGCCCGGGGCTGGAGTGACCACAGCAAGGGACCTGAGCTGTCTTTCCCAATCTCTGTATGCAGCTCTCTCTTATACCCTCGGGTTCCTCCCAGGAGCTCTGGAGGTGCAGGATTTCCACCGGTCTCTTTCCTAAACTGAAGGAATTGGGACTGAAAGGGAAAGGAAATGGAAGGAAGGAGAATTTGGAGGAGAGAACACGCCCACCCTGGGGAAGCTGCCTATCCCCAGGGAAACCCTACCAGGGAGCAGCCGCCCCCTCATCAGAGACCTGCAGAGTCAACCAAGCACGAGTTAGAGCCCCAGAACTGGAAGCCAGCTGTGGGCTTTCTGTGCTTCCTCTCATAGCTTTGGAGTCTGGCTGCCCATCAGGAGGTCCCGGGGGCTCTCTGGGACCTGAGGCTCCCATACCACCTGGCCTCAGTAAAACCAGGTGTATGCCTGCTCTTCCATCCACACTCCAGGGCTGCCCACCAGCTGACAGCCACCATCAACTGACAGTAACAGAGCAGGCGCAGGTACAAAGAGGGCGGCTCACTCCTGCTCTTAGGAGTTCCAATCAGATCTGCCCTGTACAGCCACGCAGGCTGTGCACTGCACAACTCCAGGGACATGAGTCACACAGATACAATGTGAGTGTGCTCCCCCATCATGCAACATCTGGACATAACTAACAGAGCGTGGTGAATACGTGCTGAATTGCTTTCAGTAAGGCTGTGAACTAGGCCTGGGGACAAGAATGAATTTTACATGGAAAGAATTTCCTGTAGCAGGAACAGAGGGGATAACAACAGCAATAAATAACAATAAGAAGCTACCACTTCTTGAGCATGTACCACATACCAAGTGGTTGCCTGGGATGTGTCAGTTGCCCTTCACAGCAATCCTATGAGGTAGGGACTATTATTATCTTCATTTTATATTTGGGGAAACTGAGGCTCAGGGAGATCAGGTAACCTGCTGAAGGCCAAACAGCTGGTTAGTGATGGAGCCAAGTTCCAGGCCCCTGTATGTCAGACTCCAGTGCCCAAGCCCCAAGCCACTGAGTCTGCATCCATGAGAGCCTTCCTCTTTGTTCCTCCCACAGTACCTGAATGACAGGGCCAGAGATAATGCACCCCCGTTGTGCAGATGGGGAAATCAAGGCCCAGGCAGAGGAAGAATTGACAAGCTCTGGGGGAGGTGGGAGGAGGGCAGCAGAAATTAGAGTGGTAGAACATAGGAGCCAGATCACCGCTCAGGTGCATGTGTTTTCATTTGTATTCATTTGTTCATTCAGCACACATTTATGGCTCACGCCTGTAATCTCAGCACTTTGGGAGGCCAAAGTAGGAGGACTGCTTGAGGCCAGGAGTTGGAGATCAGTCTGGGCAACATACCGAGACCTGGTCTTGACAAAAAATTAAAATAAAAAAATTAGCCACTGCCAGCTACTCAGGAGGCTGAGGCGGGAGGATTGCCTGAGCCCAGGAGTGCGAGGCTGCAGTGAGCTATGATTGTGCCACAGCCTGGGTGAAAGAGTGAGACTCCGACTCTTTTTTTTTTTTTTTGAGACGGAGTCTTGTCTTGTCACCAGGCTAGAGTGCAATGGTGTGATCTCGGCTCACTGCAACCTCCATCTGCCGAGTTCAAGGGATTCTCCTGCCTCAGCCTCCCCAGTAGCTGGGATTAAGGCACCTGCCACCACACCCGGCTAATTTTTTGTATTTTTAGTAGAGATGGGGTTTCACCATGTTGACCAGGCTGGTCTCCAACTCTTGACCTCAGATGATCCACCTGCCTCAGCCTCCCAAAGTGCTGGGGTTACAGGCATGAGCCACCGTGCCAACTCCAACTCTTAAAACACAAAATTTAAAAACAAATATTTATGCAACTCTTGTTGCTTTTAAACTAAACTGCCCATGTCACACATGGGAAATGGAGGCTCTGAAAGGGGAAAGAATTTTGCTGGGGTCCCAGATTAAAGGGGCAGAATCTGGACCAGAACCCAGGACACCTACACCCAGGCCTCCTCCCACTACACCAGCTGCTTCTCAAGCCCCGAGTGGCCCCTCAGTTGAATCCAGTCCACACCACAGCCACTGCCTTCAGCTAGAGTTTATTGAGAGTCCCCTTGGGCAGGCCTGGGGGATAGAGGAAGCCCCACAAGCACCATGGCCCCTCAGTGGCCCGTGGCCGGAGCCAGAGTTGTGTCTCATCAGCACCAAGGAGAGGGCCAGGCCAGGTATGGAGGACTCCCTGGGAGTTTGTGTTGATGGAACTTGGGGGAGGCAGGGCTGAAAAAGGACCTATGGCAGGTAAACCGTGGCAACCAAGAGTTCCCCAGCCCCCTGCCCCCAGAAACCAAGGCCCCTGTGCCATAGTCCACCTGCCTGCCTCGTGGGCCCCGCCCACACCAGGGACAGCTCTTCTTCGACTCTGCTCTGTTGACCCAAGTAGCTACCATTCCCGTTTCTCTCACTGACCCCAGGGAAGGCCAGAGGGAGGTGGGCAAGGGGCTGGGTTTATCCCCATCAGTTGTTCCCTTCTAGGTCCAAGGACCCCCCAGGATCGAGGTAAACCAGTCCTGAGGCTGAAAAAGAAACTGCCACTTGCCCCTTTTGCCCCCAGGAGAGGCAGTGCAGCAGCTTGGGAGCTGGGAGGATCCCTGAGAGATGGGGTCCCCACCCAGGAGCCAGAACAGGGAGTTGGGGAACCAGAGTCAGGCTGTGGGAGGCCAGGCCGGGGCTGAAGAGGGGGAGGCAAATGGAAAGAGAACAATGGGAACAAAGAGCCCTTCCTGACGCACAGCCAGAGAGGCCAGGGGGCGGGGTAGCGGGGGGTCGTAGCAACAGAACGTATCACTTCACTGACCAGGTACTGGGTGCTGGGCCCACATTATCTTAATTCTCAAGACAACCCTGCAAGATAGGCATCATTTCTCTGTCTTACAGATGGGATAAGCGAGACTCAGAGAGGTTAAGTAACTCGTGTCTGGCCCCAGAGCTCATAGGTGGTAGGGCAGAGGCCCACATGTGTGCCTGCCTCCCAGGTGCAGCTGCTGCCACATATATACCAGGGTGCAGGGACTGGCAGGTCCAAAAACCCTCCAGCAAATCATTCTCAGGGTTAAAGACCATGTAAGGCAGCACATCTCAGACTGTAACGGGCACGTGATTCACCTGGGATCTTGGTAACACGCAGTTCTGACTCAGCAGGTCTGGGCAGGGGCAGAAATGTGCATTTTTCACAAACCCCCAAAGGTGATGGCAATGCTGATTGTCCATGGACTACACTGTGAGTAGCGAGGGGTTCAGCCCAGCATTAATCCACGCTTGCAGGTGGGGGCGTTCCCTGCCGTCCAGCCTGACAGAATGGGCAAAGGCCATGATTGTTTACATCCTAACCTGGACTAAGACGTCCTTCTCCCCAACATCCGAAGTCCTCCAGCCCATCCTCTGTACACACAAGTTACACTCGACGGTGGAGCATCCTTCAGAACACGGTATCTGAGTCAGCTATGATCCCTGCAGGTAAGGGGCCTGGAGATGGCAGCAGGGGCCGGCTCTGCGCACCCCCCTGGAGCTCAGAGGGCTCCTCAGAGACTTGCAGCCTCCTGGTCTTAGCCAAGAGCTGGTCCAAGGCTTCAGGGTGTGGGTTCTGCTCATTCCAGCTCCCCACTGGCCAGCCCCAAGCCCGGGTCAGTTCGTGGGGGTGCCGAGTGGATGCAGCCGCAACTTGGGCTCTGCGGGGTCGATGTTGAAGAAGTTGACAGCAGTAGCGGCCCTGGTGGGCAGCGGGGGATCCCGGGTGGCCTCGCCAGGAAGCAGCAGCTGGGCCGTGAGCTGCAGGCCTGAAGAGCCGCCCGAGCCTGCGTCTGAGTCCGAGTCTGAGTCCGGCGGCAGGGGCAGCGGCAGTACCTGCTGTAGACTAAGGCCGGGCCGGGGGCCGCTGTGAGAGGTGCGCAGTGATGGTGAGGCCAGGCTGGCCTGGCGCTCCCAGGGACAGCGTGGACATGGCAGGAACCTGCCCAGCGCCCGCTTGAAGTCCCGCATGAAGAGTGGGTAGATGATGGGGTTCATGGTGCTGTTACAGTAACCCAGCCACGTGAGGGCATCGAAGAGGCCCGGGGAGATGCAGTCGCACACAGCCTGAGGGGAGGGGATGCGTCATGCCTGGTCCCAGGGCAGGGACCCAGGCCACCCTTCCCAGCTCGGATGGAGCAGACACACACATGCACCACGAGAGGCAGCCTGCCCTCCCCTGTCCCCATGCCTGGACTGGGATCCAGGACCTCTCATGCAAGGGCTGGACTCACCTGCCCCCTGCCGTGGCATTACCTGAACTATATTGGCCACAAAGAAGGGCAACCAGGTCACAAAGAACATGCCCAGCAGGATGCCTAGTGTCAGGCTGGCCTTCAGGGCCTTCCTGCTATGCTTCGTAGCTAGACGCCTGCTGTCAGCAGACTCCACCCCTGGGCGTGGGGTCCTGGGCACCTGCGGAAAGGAAGGCCACATGAGTCAATTGAGGAAGGGCCCCCATCTGACCCTGATCCTAGCCACAGACTGAGCTTCAATCCTGATTCTAGACTGAGCCCTAGTGCCAGGATTAAACTGAGCCCTGTTCCTTGACTGAGTCCCAGCTGGAGTCCTAGACCGAGCCCTGACCCTGACTCCAGGCCAAGCCCTGACATCAGCAATAAACTAAGCCCTGACCTTGGTCCCCAGCTGAAGCCTGACACCTACCATGAAGACCTACATAACCAAGTTCTCAAACCAAGCCTCAACCATGGACCTAGACTGAGCCCTGATCCTGATCCCACACTGAGCCCTGACCCTGACCCAGAATTTCATAAGGAGCTCTAGGAAGTGCAATGAGACAGAAGAATACCTGAAACACAAAGCAGATGGTTCAGAACAACCATCCCTGCAAAGACAATATGTGACACAGGCCAACACACACATTACAATGTGCCCAGCACCTTCCAAAGCCTTTAGTGCTACAGAAATCAATTGCAATTGACCGGGCGCAGTGGCTCATGCCTGTAATCCCAGCAGTTTGGGAGGCCAAGGCAGGCAGATCACTTGAGGTCAGGCATTTGAGACCAGCCTGGCCAACTGGGTGAAACCTTGCCTCTACTAAAAATACAAAAATTAGCCAGGCATGGTGGCAGGCACCTGTAATCCCAGCTACTCAGGAGGCTGAGGCAGGAGAATTGTTTGAACCCGGGAGGCGGAGGTTGCAATGAACCAAGGTCGTATCACTGTACTCCAAGCCTGGGTGACAGAGCGAGACTCCATCACACACAGACACACACACACACACACACACACACACACAAATCAATTGCAGTTGAACAGTACTTGAAAAAGAGGACCTATTACTGTCCAGAGTTTGGCAATTGCTTTGTATATGGATTCTCTTCATATTTGGGAGCAATAGTCTTGCCTGGGTAATTCCTCTTGAGCCCCACAAAATAGAAAGGCTTTTTGAGAATGTGTGCACAAAGCCAATAAGTTTGCAGCTAAATCTCTTGTTAGGTTCCTAAGGATGCTGGTGACCTTGGCATTTTACAGCTCAATTATACTGCGAACTGGCAGGCATCTCCATTCTCAAAAGTGGACAGGAAGACGATGAGGGGGTAGGAAGAAGGAGAAGAAATAAGCTACTTCCCAGCAGCTACTGAAAGGAAGACATAGGCCCGAGGAGGTTAGAATTCGACTTTGCCAACTGGCCCCTGCAGTCCCAACGGGCTCTCTGAGCTGGATGATTCTTCAGCTCAGCAGTGCTCTTTACTTGTTAAACTTCCTGTGCCCTTTGAAAAGCTAACAAAATCTACACACACACACACACACACACA